TTTAAACTTTCTACAATAGGCTATAGAAATAAATGTTTTCAGCTGTCCTAAAATTTAGGAGAAAAAGTCCACATTAATAAAAGAATAAATCTAGGTCATAAGTCTAGTTTGCTACATACTCTGAATTCATCATCTTCATAAATGAAACAACTCATTGCTAATACTTTAAATGCTTCAAGTAGACAGCACTGAAATAAGTTTATAATCTCTGGAATGTTGCTGAGGGTAAGTTCTAGGAAAAGGACAATTTTATTAATGTTATACATATGATATATATTTTAATATAAATATTAAATTTATGTTTAATAAAATAAACATATGTACTGCTAAGGGTAGATTACTTTTATTGAAATCATCCCACTAACAATTACATTTCTCTTTTCTGTTACAGTAAAAATAACTAGGAAAGAATGAAATATTTTCTTTAACAAATATAATAGGGCTGGGTAGTTGTAGCTCAGTGCTAGAATATTTGCCTCAGCATGAATGAGGTCTTGGGTTCAACCTCCAGCACAATAACACATCCCAAAAGAATTGTATGTAAACAATAACCTAACATCACATCAAAAGTCTCTTTTTACAAAGCAAGTATTTCTTTGAAGCAGCTGTCGTACATTAAATACAAAACCGATTTTAGCTATCCTTATATTATGATCATATTGTTTGCATAAACTTATATCATTTTGATACTGAAGTAAAAATTGTTTTCAGTATAACATCTGAAAACACAGGTAATTAGAAAAAGCTCATAGAATAGATATAAGAATTTCTTTTAGAAACATTTATAATAGCCTCCACCAACACAGACAGATCTCTTCAATCACTCATTCAAAAGCATCCAATCTCCAGGTAAAATATGCTGTGGAAATACTCAAATGTGCTAGACACTGTTGTAATCTATAAGCAGCACTTACTACTTACCATGTTTTAATGCAAACCCTTTTATTTGCATTTACTATTTCTATTCATTCCTTCTGTAACTATAAACATTCACAATGCAGTTATCAATATTCTCAGAAATGAACACACAACAGAAAACAAGACAAGCGTATTTATATAAGTCTACTTTCTTCTTTAACTTGAGTATACTACATAACTAGTAAACATTGCAACATGTTAGAAATTGTTCAGTTAAACACTTGAATAGCAGGTGTGCCACATTTGATTTCCAATCCCTTGTCAGGCACTGTTAATTGTGGTAGTTACTCTACTCTTGATGTGTTCTTAAAAGTCTTTTCCCTACAGAAGTCAATCAATTGTAACAAAAAAGAAAGAAGATAAAAAACATTTTAATCTCTGAGCAGAATGCAGAATGGAGAAAGCAAACTACAACTATTACTCCAACAAACAGGGAACTAAACAAATCCACTAGTCAGGTTTGTGCAGACATCAATGTCATTTTCTACCATTTTCCAAGGTCAGAAACTTGTTCTATGTACTTTCTTCATTACTGAGTGAAGAGCAATATCATTTATTCTCATCATGGCAATAAATGGAAGTCTATATTCATCTATGAGTCAATATGAACATTTCCTACATGCACTCCCCAGAGACCTTAAGTGAACAACTGCAGACTCTACTCACCAGGACAGGTTACTGTAATTCTAATGTTTTCCTTTTAGATCATGCAGTTTTCTAAGCTTACTACAATAAAGTACTCAAAAGTATTTGATTTAAAATAAGAGGAACTTACCATTGCAGAACTGTGAAGATAGAAGTACAAAGTCAGTGCCACCAGCACCCATCGTGGGTCTTTCTGAAGCCTGTAGAACTCTTCTTTCTTCTTCATTTCTGCTGTTAGGTTGGCAAGCATGAACCATTCATTGCTTAATGCATTTGTTATTGTAGAAAATCTCTTGTATCTATATCACTAGCCATTTTCTTTTAAAGGGCACAGAAATATTAGATTAAGAGACCACTGCATTTGAGGGTGACATCATAACATCTAAGTACTTGTGCCACAAACCCACTTGCAAATAAATTCACATTCCCAGGTTCTTGGTAATAGAAATTCAACTCATTTTATCCTTATTAATATAAAATACATAATCAAGGGGAAAACTAATTAGAAAAACCATTCATGTTCAACTACCAATGTATACTATATACACAATAGAGACAAATCTGCTAAAGTTAATAAAAAAATATGAAGGGAAAGCCCCAATAAGGAAGCTTACTTGTAATGAAGAATAGAATTGTAATCCAGGACACACCTAAATGGATTAACAACTTGATCTTCACCTATCAAAACATACACCAAATTTGTAGTCTACAGAATTGTATAATAATAGGCCTCTACTAGTTTTAAGACACTTTAATAAGATAGTAATGAACAATGAAAATAACCTGTGTATGGCATGTTATACTCCTTTTGGAGGGGAAGGGTTTTCTACTCTGAAGATAATGTAGACTTACTGACAAATGAGAACTGCAGGAGGAAAGCTGTATACTGGCTACACCAACCAAAATGGACCACATTGGTTACTTTTCTATTGTGATAACACTTCGACCAAGGCGACTTATAAAAGTGTTTATATCAGCTTACTGTCTCAGAGGGTAGAATCCGGGATGGCTGAGTGAGATGCAGTGCCAGGAAGAACTGAGAGCTTACATCGTTCTACCACAGCAACCTAAGAAAAGGAAAAATTCCAGGAGGCTAGATAATTATATTGGCAGGGGAAACAAAGTAGCAGGTCACCAGGGCAGGAGACTAAAGGACCATAGCTCAACTGTACCCAGGAAGTACTGGAAGTATGGTGAAGCCGGAAACTTTGGAAGCCTGCTCCCCAGTGATGGACTGCCTCCAAAAAGTCTCCGTGGCCTAAAACTTCCTTAATGCCCCTAATAACACCACCAACTAGTTACCAAATGTCTAATTACATGAGCCGATTGGAGACAGTTCTCTTTCAAACGACAACAGCGTGGTGGGCAGAGGGAATTGCAATGATCCTGGCGCCAATGCCTGATCCCTACTGATATTGGTCCCGTCGTTTGGGAATCTAAAGATCTGCTTCCACGCTGTTGAAGTAGGTAACTATTATCTGAACTACTTCTACCTGGCTACTTCTTAGTTTCCATCAATTTGCACCTGGACTCCCGCATTTCCAAAAAGCCTGTCAAACACTGGACCTTCTCTTCAAGGGAAAATTCCATAGGGTCTCTCCAATTTTGTTTCTTCCTGCTGATCCTACTACCATTATCGCGACACACACAAAATTAAATGTCTAGTGTTTACCTTCACTCTCTCCTTTACTGATGCTAGTGATAACCCGTGTGCTAAGCGCACTAAGTAACTGCTCAATAATACTCGTCAAAATTATCATTACCCGTGGAAACTATGAATTGGATGCTTGAAGTATGCTTTCTTCATAACAGTTTTGGTGAACAGTACTTATATATTCATATGTTTCATATTTCACATAATAAAGTAATTAAAACACAAAAGTAGCCATAAATCATATTTAAAACCATTATATATATATATATGTATATATATATGTATGTGGTATCTATGTAGATCATACATACACAGATAGATAGATGATACATAGATATACCAATATATGATAAAGCAAGGTGATAGCTAGACAGACAACAGAGCGATTAACATGAGATTTTACACAAGTAGAAAGTCAACAAAGGTTTATTTCTCACAGCTAGTAGAGTTGACATGTTGTCAAGTGGAACTTAATGAGTTTCATCTAAGGCAGGAAAAGCAGATTTAAGCCTCTAGGACCTTATGTGTTCCTGAACTTTCACAATATTAATGGTGAAACTATTTTTAGAAAGTCATCAGAGTATATAAAATGTTAGACAGGGAGTAGAAAATCAGGTTTACACACTGAAAACCACAAGTACCCTCAATAGTTGAGGCTGCTCTTTTCAACCTGATGGGCTCAGAATCATATGGAAACAAACTTCTGGGCATGTCTGTGAGGGAGTTTCTGACGGGGTTAAATGAGAGAGCAGTTCTAACCTAACTATGGATAGTACTATTCTATCCAGTGGGTCGAAGGCTGAATAAAAAAGAGGAAAACGCTTGCATTTCCTCTTTCTGCTTCCTGACTCTGGTTACAATGTGAACAGCTGGCTAGAGATCCTGCTACCATGACTTCCTCACTACGGTGAACTGTACCCTTGAACTTTCAGCTAAAATAAATCCTTTGATAATGTATTTCATAACAGCAAGGGGAAAGCTAACTAACATGCTAGTCACATGTGATGATAGGACCTGACCAGGAAGACACCTCTGGCCATTTATGACATAAATAGCGAAAGTGGGGTTTATTGTGTCATATTTCTTTTTAATATTATATTTGAATGTTAATACTAGACGTAAAAAAAATGTGTCCTTGCAGTCTCGGATAGACCTCATTCCCGAAGATCACTTTTATTAACTTACTGGCGACAACAGTCAATGCTTTTAAGAGTTGCAGGGCTGTGCAGGGAGCAGGTACACCACCCAGGTCTCCCGCCCGCAGGGACTGCACCACTACAGAGCCTCTTCTAGGAGTGCTAAGAGGACTTTGGAGGGCTTGCGAGGACTCCACCTGGAATCTTCATTTCCAGCAAAGGAATAAACCGCAAACGGAGGCGGAACGAGAAAACAGACGTTTGAATCCCGCGCCAGGCTGGCAAAGCAACCCACCTCAGATTCTCAACACGTTTGCTCCTCTTCACTCTAGGCGAGCTCTGTCCACCCCAGAACTACAGCTCCCACAAGGCAATGCGGCGAGGCGGGGCTACCGGGATCGTTTTAAAGCCAGTAGGCTTGCCGCGTTTCGGGTTTGATGCAAGACAAACTCTGACCTTTCCCGGGGGGGCTGCTCCCTGGGCGAAGCCTGCGCGAGGGGAGAGGCCGGCTGTTTCCTCGCAGGCCTGAGTGAGCCTCCCACCCCGCGGCCTCATGGTAAATGGAGTCCCTGAGGTGGAGAGAGACGTAGTTCCTGCCGCTGCCTCGTAGCCGACGGACTACGTTTCCCAGGAGGCCGCGGGGCGGCCGGCGGCTAGGGGGCGGTGCCTCCCGTCGGTACAGTCATCTCTCAGCTTGTTCGGCGGGACTGATGGCCGGAGAGATGACGATCTTAGGTGGGTACCCCAGGGGCCCTGATGCTGCGGCAGTGGGCGGGTTAGTTAGAGGAGGTCCGGGTGGGCAGGCGGTGCTGGTCTCGCTCCTGAGCCCGGGTCACGCCGCGAAGGGAACCTGCGGAGGTGGCGGAGGCTGCCTGGAGCCGGTGGGGGCGGGGCGCCCGGAGCCGGCTCCGGCCGATGGAGGAGGCCGCTTGGGGGTCCCGGCGGCAGCCGCTCGTCCGGGGGACGCGGGCCTGCAGACGGGTCCCGCCAGCAGAGACCTCGGTCTTGAGTCAGGAGCTGGGTTCGGTTCTCTGTGCAGGGGGCGAGAGCCCCTTGTGGAATAAGAGGGGGACAGCATCTCGAGGTGTGGACTCCCCGGGCTGCACTCGGGATGCCGAGTTGGGAGCGGATTCTGGTCCCGGTGCTGTGGAGCTGGATTCTCTTTGGAACTTAGCTGTTGGGAATTGCAGTCCCTCGCTAGCTGTGAGGAAATGCTTTTAAGATGTTTCTGTAGTGGTTAGGCTGGTCTACTGAGAGCCAGGCGTTGGTTTGAACGAGCAGTTTATCAACAGCACCACGGGCTGACATTCCGGTTTCTTAGCATGAGTCTTGAGTGGGAACAGGTGGATAACACAGACATTAATTCTGAATTCAGAGCGATGCCCTTATTCGCTTTGGGGGTACCATATGCATGAGGTTTGCATGTGATCTTTTTTCTTTAATTGAACTTTGCTGAGCTTCTTTCTGGGGAATACAGTGGTGGACAAACGTGTCTTCAGGAAACTTCCATGTCATTGCTATCAGGGTTAGTACTTATATACTTCTTCTCTAAATACTACCTCTTTTGAGAAGTATGACCTTAATTCACACTTAAATATGCAAAAAAAGAACCCTCATTGGACTCTGATATGAGGTAACAGCAACATCAATTTTAAAAATCAATGCACCCAACTTATTCTTTTGAATGGGTAAAGACGATAATCGAAGAGGTTAACCTTACACCAAAGCTTTTGCTGTTAGAAGTTCATAATGGAATTTCATTATAGTAACGTAGATAAAACTGTTCATGAAGCTATCAGCCCAAATAGGAAAAGGTCAAGAAAAGTGGATTGTAGCCAGCTTTTGCTTTACATTTGTCATATTTCCATTTGGCAGCAGCATAATTATGAGTGAAATATATTTATATTTTATTCCCTTATTTTCATATAACAAATTACACAAAAATACAGTTGTGAGGGCATTTGATTAACTTTTTTCTTTACTTTTAGTTGTAGCCCAGTTGGAATATGACAGACTTGATGTCTAAAAGAATTAGTTATTAATCCTATAAAGTAAAATATTTCCTTCAAGAGTGTTATTGAAGAGATGTTGCTGTAGGAACAGTATATAGTAGTAGCTTGACAAAGATGTCTCTGTTTTCAGGTTCAGCTGTTTTGACTCTCCTGCTGGCTGGCTACTTGGCACAACAGTATTTACCACTGCCTACTCCAAAAGTGATTGGCATTGACCTGGGTACCACCTATTGTTCCGTTGGAGTGTTCTTTCCTGGGACAGGAAAAGTAAAGGTGATTCCAGATGAAAATGGGCATATCAGCATACCCAGCATGGTGTCCTTTACAGATGGCGATGTATATGTGGGCTACGAAAGCCTGGAGCTGGCAGATTCAAATCCTCAAAACACAATATATGACGCTAAAAGGTTCATAGGTAAGATTTTCACCCCGGAAGAACTGGAGGCGGAAATTGGCAGATATCCATTTAAGGTAGGAGATTAATCGGAAGTCTGTCAATTTATTATACTATTTCAATTAATCTTTGTCTTATTGTGACCATCTTTGTATCTCAACTGGGTTTATCTGTAAGGAAGTTATAGTCTCCCACTGAGAAATTTCACAGAAGCTGCAGGGTGAATCAATTCAGTGGCTTTCTGGTCAAGGAAATGGACCTTGCTGTATGCCTATTCTGCTATCATAGTATCCAATTAGTTCTTTCAAGATAACTTTAGGAAGGACGATGAAACCTCATATGCTATGAGTGGATATTTTCTATGATTGTACATACCCATATACATAGAACATTTGTACACTAGTTTTTGGTGTTTTCTGACATATTTGAAATGCAACAATATGTCACAGACATTAAATAATTACCTCACTATCTTTAATGACTGGGGAACTTTTTTTTTTTTTTTTTTTTTTGGTTTTTTGAGACAGGGTTTCTCTGTATTGTTTTGGAGATTATCCTGGAACTCACTCTGTAGACCAGGCTGGCTTCGAACTCACAGAGATCTGCCTGCCTCTGCCTCCCCAGTGCTGGGATTAAAGGTGTGTGCCACCAACACCCGGCTATTTTCTTATGTAATTGATCTATCTCATCATTATCTCTTATATTATCTTACTTTCCTTAAATGACACGAATTTTTGAAGTTCTTTTAAGTATTCAAGCGTGTGTGTGTGTCAGAAATTGCCTGCCTGGTAGAATTGATGAGTTAGAGAGAGAGAGACAGATTGACGAATTTTATTCATGTTCTATAATTATAGACCAGAAAAGGTTGCATGCTCTTAACCATTGTTTTGTATTGAGTGTCTATGTCTCTGAGTCTTCAGTAGGTAGTGTGATTTTTATTTACTTATTGAGGTAGGTCTTGCTACAGAGCCCAGCTGTTGCTGAATCTGAAAGCCTCAGCCTCTTGGGATCATAGGCCTGTGCCACCATGCCGCTTTTTTTTGGTTGCCTATCCACAAATGATAAATGGCATTTTGTGTTAAATGTCATTCTGTTACTTTCCCTAAAGTTATATTTAGTGGTGTTTTGCTTCTTTTGTTTTTTGTCTGTTGTTGGTTTTGGCTTTTGTTTTGTTTTGAAGCAGTTTGTAGACTTGTCTGGCCTAGAACTCAAAGAGATCTGCCTGACTTTGCCTCCTGTATTATTACTTTATTTAATGATGCTTCTTTTCTTTCTTTTTTTTTTGTTTTTTTTTTGTTTGTTTGTTTTTGTTTGTTTTTAACGAGACAGGGTTTCTCTGTATTGTTTTCGAGGCTGTCAGTCCAGCCCAGCCTCGAACTCAGAGATCTGCCTGCCTCTGCCTCCCAAGTGCTGGGATTAAAGGCGAGCACCACCACCGCCCAGCTAATGATGCTTATTTTCTTTTTGTCCTATTTTGACATTTAACTTTTCCTTAATGACAATTAAATACCTCTTTAGTGTATTTACTTACTATTTTCACTTCTATCATCTTTATGATGAATAATTTCTTGTTTCTTGTCAAAGTATTAGGCATTCATGAAATGTTGATTTTAGAAGAGTGGCTTTGATTCTTATGGTAATCTGTAGGAACTGTCATGTCATCTTTTCTATTGGTTCTCTAGGTTGATTTTTTTGTTTTGTTTTTTTCCATCTTAATGCATTTAGGTATTTATTTTTCCTAAAACACTGTTTAATAAAACATTGTTTCTCTTAGAACATTTAATTATGTTTTGTTCATCCGTGTAGCACTTTTACCCAAGTTATGAAGTGGTATTCTAAGTGAATTAGACTCCTTAGACAGTCGTTATCATCACTGATAACAGTGATGAATAAGTCATTGCCTGCTTTGTGACTTTCTGCAGTTTTCTTTCCTGTGGTTTTAATCCCCTGTACTCAATGACTAGCTAAAAATATAAAGTGCAGTATCTTAGAAATAACCAATCTGTAAATGTTTGAGAGGAGCATGATGAAATCTTTCTCCGCTCTTCTCGTTCTTACCCAGGATGTGTGCATCAACAGTTCATTGCATATTTGTCTGGCCTTTATTCACTAGTGACTATGTTGGTTATCCGGGGTTGTCTTTTGTTGGGATTATGTTACTAAATAATGGGCCCAAAGAGTAATATTAGTGATAGCAACTGTTTGAATATGTTGACAAGAAGCTGTAAAGTGCTTTGTCTAAACGAAAAAGTGTCCACTGAAGGTCGTGAGACATACAGCTCCCAATAAAGGGAGTCTCCTGCGTGTCCTCATTCATCCTTCCAATAAGTATGTAGTGAGAGTATCCTAGGTTTCTGTTAAATTCTTGACTTTCATTTTGTTATTACTGAATAACATACCATGGATTATTATATTTTTTTATCACCTGAACTAGCCTGAGTGGCTGTTTTATATGAATAGGCATAGATAGCTGATCTCTGGTTTGTTTCTTTTGAGATTTATATATTTTAGAAGCACTCTTATTTATATATCAATCCTTTGCCCTCCCCACCAACCCCGCAACCCACCCCCACTCACTCCCCTAGCATAGTGAGGCCCTTCACAGGAGACCATCAAAGTCTATCACATCATTTGGGAGAAGGCCCAGGCCCTCCTCCATCCTGCACCTGGGCTGCACTAGTATCCCTCCATAGGGAATAGGCTCCCAAAGTCCATTTGTGCTCTAGGAATAAATACTGGCTCCACTCTTAGAGGTCCCATAGACTGCCCTGGCCTCCTAGCTGCCACCCACATCCAGAGGGTTTGGTTTGGTCCAATGCTGGTTCCCCAGTTTTGGGTCTCCATGCTTTCACTGGGTCAGGTCAACTTTTTCTGTGGGTTTCTCCAGCACAGTCTTGGATCCTTTGCTCATCCTTCCTCTCCACAACTGGATTACAGGAGTGTGGCTCAGTGTTTAGCTGTGGGTGTCTGTTTCTGCTTCAATCAGCTACTGGATGAAGGCTCTAGGAATGGTAACCAAGGTAGTCATCAATCTCATTATAAGGGAAGAACATCAAAGACAGCCTCTCCACTACTCCCTAGATTCTTAGTTGGGGCTATCCCTCTGTATCTCCTAACATTTCCCCTGTGCCAGACCTCTCTCCAAACATATACTGGCTCCCTCTATCAAGGCATCTCCTTTCTTGCCCTCCCCTATTCCTCTGGTCTCAGTTCTCCTAAACTCTTCCCGCATTCCCTTCTCCCCCTTTCCCCTTCTCACCTCCCTCTTCTCTCTCACCTTACTCCCAATTAGTCCCTTCTTCGGGAGACCATGCTTTCTTCTCTTGGGGTTCTCCTTGTTTCTTGTTTGGCTAGTGCTACCACAAGGTATTTTATGTTGTTTGTGGCAATTATAAAGGGTGATGTTTCTCTGATTTCTTTCTTACCCCATTTAGCGTCTGTATAAGTAGGGCTACTGATTTTTTAAAATTAATTTTGTATCCTGCCACTTTGCTGAAGGTGTTTATCAGCTCTAGGAGTTCCCTGGTAGAGTTTTTCAGGTCACTTATATAAACTATCATATCATCTGCAAATAGTGAAAGTTTGACTTCTTCCATTCCAATTTGTATACCCTTGGTCTCCTTTTGTTGAATTATTGCTCTAGCTAGAACTTCAAGTACAATATTGAAGAGATATGGGAGAGAGTGGACAGCCTTCTCTTGTTCCTGATTTTAGAGGAATTGCGTTGAGTTTCTCTCCATTTAGTTTCATGTTGTAGTTTGCTGTATATTGTCTTTATTATGTTCAGGTATGTTCCTATTATTCCTGATCTCTCCAAGACGTTTATCATGAAGGGGTGTTGGATTTTGTCAAAGACTTTTTCAGCATCTAGTGAGATGATCATGTGGTTTTTCTTTTTCAGTTTGTTTATCTGATGGATTACATTGATGGAGTTTCTTATATTGTACTATCCCTGCATTCTGGGATGAAGCCTACTTGATAATGGTGGATGCGTTTTCTGATGTGTTCTTGATTTGATTTGCCAGTATTTTGTTGAGTATTTTTGCATCAATGTTCATGAGGGATATTGGTCTGTAGTTCTCTTAGTTGTGTCTTTGTGTAGCTTGGGTACCTAGGTAATTATAGTCTCGTAAAAAGAGTTTGGCAATGACCCTTCTGCTTCTGTTTTGTGGAACAATTTGAGGAGTACTGATATTAGCTCTTCTTTGAATTTCTGGTAGAATTCTGCACTGAAACCATGTGACCCTGAGCTTTATTTCATTAAGTATTATAGGTCTATTTTAATTGCTTATCTGTTCTTGATTTGATTTTGGCAAGTGATATCTATTCAGAAAATTGTCCATTTCCCTTAGATTTTAGAATTTTAAGGAATACAGGTTTTCAAAGTATGACCTGATGATTCTCTGGATTTCCTCAGTGTCCATTGTTATGTTCGCCTTTTCATTTCTGATTTTGTTAATTAGCATGCTCTCTCTCTGCCTTTTGGTTAGTTTGGATAAAGGTTTGTCTACTTGTTGATTTTCTCAAAGAACCAACTCTTTGTTTCATTGATTCTTTGTATTATTTTCATAGTTTCTACTTTACTGATAATAGCCCTCAATTTGATTATTTCCTGGCATCTACTATTCCACCATGAGTTTGCTTCTTTTTGTTCTAGAACTTTCAGTTGTGCTGTTAATTCTCTAGTGTGACTATGCTCCAGTTTCCTCATGTGGGCACTTAGTGCTATGAGCTTTCCTCTTACTACTGCTTTCAAAGTGTCCCATAAGTTTGGGTATGTTGTGTCTATTCTCATTGAATTCTAGGAAGTCTTTAATTTCCTTTTTTATTTCTTCCTTGACCCAGGAATGGTGCAATTGTGCATTGTTCAATTTCCATGAGTTTGTGTGGTTTCTGCAATTTGTTGTTGAATTCTGATTTTAAACCATGGTGATACGATAGGAGACAGGGGGTTATTGCAGTTTTTTTGTACCTGTTGAGGTTTGCTATGTTGCCAAGTATGTGGTCGATTTTAGAGAATGTTCCATGTGGAGCTGAGAAGAAAGTATATTCTTTTGTGTTTGGATGGAATGTTCTATAGATGTCTGTTAATCCCAATTGGGTCATATCTTCTGTTAGTTCCTTTGCTTCTTTGTTAAGTTTCTGTCTGGTAGTCCTGTCTAGTGGTGAGAGTGGGGTGTTGAAGTCACCCAGTATAAGTATGTGAGGTTTGATGTGTGATTGGAAAATCATTTACCAACCGTTTTCTCTGAGGCAATGTCTGTCTTTGATGTTGAGATGTGATTCTTGTATGCAGCAGAAGGGTGGATTCTGTCTTCGTATCCATTCTGTTAGCCTGTGTCTTTTTATAGGCAAGTTAAGACCATTGACATTGAGGGATATTAATGACCACTGATTGTTGATTCTTGGTTTTTTTTTTTTTCGGATTTGTTGGTGTTATTAGGTGTATTTCCCTCCTTTTCCTTTTGGTGTTTGGTAAAGTGGGATTTTCTATTGCCTATGGTTTTTTGAGTGTAATTATCTTTGTTGGGTTGGAGTTTTCCTTCTAGTACTTTGTGTACGGCTGGATTTATGGATATGTATTGTTTAAATCTGGTTTGTCATGGAATATCTTGTTTTCTCCATCTGTAGTGACTGAAAGCTTTGCTGGGTACAGTAATCTGGGCTGGCATCCATGTGCCCTTAGCGTTTGTAGAACTTCTATTCAGAACCCTCTGACTTTCAAAGTTTCCATTGACAAGTCCGGTATAATTCGGATAGGTCTGCCTTTATGTGTTACTTATCGTTTTTCTTTTGCTGCTCTTAATGTTTTTTCTTTATTCATTAAGTTTGGTGTTTTGATTATTATGTGCCAAGGGGACTTCTTTTTGTGGGCCACTCTATTTGGTGTTCTATAAGCTTCTTATACTTTCATAGGCATATCCTTCTTTAGGTTGAGGAAGTTTTCTTCTATGATTTTTTGAATATGTATTCTGTACTGTTGAGCTGTATTTCTTCACCTTCTTCTATACCTGTTATTCTTAAGTTTGACCTTTTCACTGTGTCCCATATTTCCTGGACATTTTGTGTTAGGGATTTGTTTGACTTGAGATTTTCTTTGGTCAATGACTGTATAGCTTCTAATGAATCTTCAACACCTGAGATTCTCTCTGCCATCTCTTATATTCTATTGGTTATACTTATATCTGTAGTGCCTGGTTGTTTACCCAGTTTTTCTATTTCCATCATCTCCTCATTCTGTGTTTTCTTTACTGCTTCTATTTCAGCTTTCCAACCTTGAACAATTTGAATTGCTTCCTTGTTTCTTCTTGGCTTTCTTTAGATTCTTTAAGAGATATGTTTATTTCTTGAATTTTTTGGTTTGTCTTTTCCTCCATTTCATATTTTGTTTGTTTTTTCTTCTACTTCTAAAAGGGATTTCCTCATTTCCTCTTTAAGGGTCTCTATCATCTTCATAAAATAGCTTTGAAGTTCTTTTCTTCTGCTTCACCTGCATTAGGCTTTTTAGGTCTTGCTGTTGTGGAGTCCCTAGATTTTGGTGGTGTCACAGCGGTCTTTCTGCTGTTAAGTGTGTTCCCATCCCTTCTTCAAATGGGTGCAGGTGGGGTATCTCCCTCTCCTCTGGTCTCCTGGTGGCATATGTGAGCCAAGGCTTCAGTGTCTGCAACTCTGGATGGTCTGGCCTTTCCTGATATTCTCCTCACTCAAGGGGAGGGCATAGGAGGGCCAAGACTCAAGTGGAAGGCAGAGGGCAAAGGGGGGGAGCCAAGAGTGAGGTGTGACTGGACTGAGGGTAGTCCTTCCTGCCGGAGCGGGTCCACTCTAAGCAAGGAGCGGGCCCAGGAATATCCAAGGAGGGAGTAATGGTGGGAGCTGGGGCCCGAGCAGAGCCCACACTCACCTCAAGCATAGGGCTGATTAATTTTATAAATTTTAAAGCATCACTTTCAGTAAACTCTAATCTGGAAAAACGTACTGGATACGTTAGAGTGGATCGTATTACTTTATGAAGGTTTTTGTTGAATAAATCCAACATGTACATGTGAAAGCAAATGCAAGTATGTGTATGCATGCATGTCATTACAGTTTTGTTTATCAAATCTTATTCACAGGTGTTACACAAAGACGGAATGGCTGAGTTTTCTGTAACAAGTAACGAAACCATCATTGTTACTCCGGAGTATGTTGGCTCTCGATTGTTGCTAAAACTGAAGGAAATGGCAGAGGAATACCTCGGGATGCCAGTTGTCAATGCTGTCATTTCTGTACCAGCAGAGTTTGACCTAAAACAGAGGAATTCAACAGTTCAAGCTGCCAACCTTGCCGGTAATAGCATCCTCGACTGATGTGCATTTTTCTCAGGATTTTGTTAGAACAAAAAGCTTCTGCTCCAAGAATTGCCATTTTGTAAATCAACTGTAGGCACATAAGATATGACAGATGAATAACTGCCTGTTTATATAAATTTCCAAATAATTATGAACTCTGTAGTATATCAGGGAAAAAAAGCAGGCTGGGGATAGGGATGTAGCTTTCTGGTAGATTATTTCTCTACAGTGGATAAGACTGGGCCTGGGTTCAGTCCTCCAGAGCACACACATCCTCAAAAAATGTAAAGAAGAAAAAAACATTAAGCTAATCAAGCATATGAAAAAGACTGGAAGAGAACATGAGCACTTGTGTCCTTCTGGTGAAAGATGCAATCTTTGTTAAGGTAAATGTGTTTCCAGACTTTCCAAGATGAAAAGAATGAAACACTGTCCACAGATCCTCTGTGTCGTCCTTGTTTTCAGTTAGCCAGAAGCATAGAATAGGCATGAAACGTAATGTTTTCCTATAGAAACTTCTTTAGACGTACCCTTTCCTCCTCACTAATAGTTGCTGTATCCTGTCTCCCAGTGGAAGGCAATCAGCAGTGTCCTCATTCATTCCATTCACTTCATGGGGATAAATCCCTCTTGTTCACAGCCACTGATGTAGACTTTAACAGAAATAACGGAATGGAAGAATAAAGGGTCAGCAGGTAGTCATAACATAGGGGTGCCCTGTAGAATGATCAGGTATGCCTCATTGGAAGAGTAACACTTGAGTCTCTGACTATAGGACCTTTACATGACCAGAGCTGAGTGATCTGTAGGTAAAGGGAAGGACAGTATGACCTTTGGTGGAATTCTTCAGAGTTTGAAATGTTGATGTGGCTCCTGAAGGTTAGTGCCATATTTTACAGAGACCACTTTATGTGTGGAGTTAGTTCAAAGCAGAAATATTAATCAGAATAATGTAGTCTTTGTCACAAGATGAGCTTATCACACTTGCACACCTCTATGGTTCCAGGTACACTATCAGAATTAGAAAAGGCTGGAAGAGATTTTGCTCAGTTGTTAATAAAGTGTCAGGTTACTAAGCTTGGGTTCGTCTTATTTAATGTTGTACTCTTTAAGGATAATTTAAATTGCACCACCGATATCTTCTGTTTTCATACCACTGTATTTTTCCCACGGCTTTTGTCACTGCTTGGTGAAGCTCATGTTAAAGACGAAACACACATATTGTTATTGCAAGTTGTATAGAAAGGCTCTTCTCCTGGTCTTTCAGGACTGAAGATCTTGAGAGTGATAAACGAACCAACAGCAGCAGCTATGGCCTATGGTCTCCACAGGGTTGATGTCTTCTATGTGCTGGTCATAGACGTGGGCGGAGGGACTCTTGATGTGTCATTACTGAATAAACAAGGAGGGACGTTTCTAACACGAGCAATGTCTGGTAAGAAAGAAACAGAATCACAGACGTTCAAGCATGTTTCCCTTAATATGCCTAGCATGTAGCATCTTGGTTTGGTTTTCAGAGGATTTTGTGATTTTTTTTTTTTCTGTACAGTGTTGCTCCTGTCTGTCTATGTACAGATCATGGTTAACTGTCAAATAAAATTGTTAGACTTCAGTAAGTCAGATAAGGAAGTTCCTTCAGGGCTTTCTTCTGACAGGAACAGTAAGGAGGAAGACTTTGAATTAAGAGTTTCAGATGATCATATATTGTATGCTTCATAAAGTAAATGTCCTAACAAATGCAATTTTAATGTCATTGAAGACACAAGATATTTCACTTTAAATCTCTTTTCAAGATTTTTGCTTTGTGCCTTTTAGGTTAACAATATAAGGGTGTTTACATTGACTTGTATAATTGTTCTAACATATATATTTTTCACTCTTTCAACCAGATTCATTAGAGCCACAGTACATACTTTATATTACATTTTTCTTTCTAATAGAACTATTTCTATTAAGATTTTAATCATTAACAGTTAGATAAAATGTATGTTTATTGGTACCTGTTAGGCCAATTCATTTTCAGAATAATAACTGTTGGTGTTTTGGATAGCTGCATAACAAGGCAGTCTATGATGTTATTCTCTTGTGTTATCAAAAATTATTTGATATCATTGAGATACTTCCTTTTACATAGTTTAGAATTTCTAACCTTTTCTGGCACTGTTTATCAATTTTACCATGATAAAACAGATACAGTAACATTTGAGGTTAAAATGTTTCTAGAATAAATAGACGTAGATAACCATCTCACTTTGCCATTTAGATTAAAATGGTTTTGGCATAGCTCTTTTTAGTTGATACTTTAATGAAATTTTAATGTATTTGCAGGATTTGTTATTCTTAAAATATGTTAACTTTTTATATATTTGTGTGTGTACACATATGTATAACACAGTTTTTAATTGTTCTTTTAGGAAACAACAAACTTGGAGGACAAGACTTCAATCAGAGGCTTCTTCAGTACTTATATAATCAGATTTATGAAACCTATGGCTTTCTCCCTTCCAGGAAAGAGGAAATCCATAGATTAAGACAAGCTGTGGAAATGGTCAAATTAAATTTGACGATTCATCCGTCTGCCCAGGTGTCAGTTTTACTCACTGTCGAGGAAAAGGACAGGCAGACACCTCAGAAAGATGACTCTAATCTGCCCAAAGACCAGCTTAGCCCAGGGGATGGTCACCATGCGCACAGGGTGTTTAGACCTGGCCCTTCTGACAACAAGAGTGGGGAACGGCAGGTGTTATTTGAGACAGAAGTATCACGCAAACTCTTTGATTCCCTCAATGAAGATCTCTTTCAGAAAATACTCGTGCCCATCCAGCAAGTATTAAAAGAAGGCCACCTAGACAAGACGGAAATTGATGAGGTGGTTCTAGTTGGGGGCTCTACTCGGATTCCTCGGATCCGCCAAGTCATTCAAGAGTTCTTCGGGAAGGATCCCAACACGTCTGTAGACCCTGACCTGGCAGTGGTGACAGGAGTGGCCATCCAGGCGGGGATTGATGGAGGCTCTTGGCCTCTCCAAGTCAGTGCTTTAGAAATTCCCAATAAGCATTTACAGAAAACCAATTTCAACTGACCTCTGAGGGAGAGCTGCTAACTGTTGACCTTGTCTAGTGATGTTGATCCTCTCCATTGTGAAGCTTCCTCCAGAAGTACATGAAATAGCTCACAGATGAGCCTGAGGACATTTAGGCAGCAAACTTTTGCATAATGTTTCATTTAAGAATTGAATATGACCAGATGAGTCCTGTGTGTGTTTTGAGAACTCTCATAGTATTTCTAAAGTCACAGAGTTGAGGTTCGATGCTTGTCTGGATTCTGGAAGTAGGCTACCATTCACATTTACTATTCTGGAAGCAGTAAGTAGTGCCAACAATAAGCCCCCCACTTTTTACTAAATTTTATTGGTAGGGGCTGATAATTCCTTACTTGGTTATCACATGTAACTTAATTTGATCTATACTTGAAGGACTGTTAATGTCAGGTATTTACATTGGCTGGGAGATAACGGTATTATTAAACTGCATAGATAGTATTTATCAACTGCCGTATAAATTGTATTTCAAAAATTCACTTCTAATGTGTTATATTCTCCTAATCTACAGATATTAATGTGTTTAATAGATCGACCAATTTTTCTTCCTAAAATAGCTACAGATTTACTCAGATCTTTCCTGCCAGATAGTCGAAATTTCCGGTTTATAATTTAGTTCCTTTATCTTCAATGTGTCATTCTCTGGTTGTATTTTCCCAAGTCTGCTGGTAAGAAAGCAGTAGGGAGTTACCAGTTGCCTTTTCAACGTGTTATTGCCACAATAAAGCTGCATTGCTCACTCAGTTTTTGCTATCCAGGACAGCACTTTGCACAGATCAAGCACTTACTGGTATTTGGTTATGTTTTATTTCCTTTTTTCCCAGGGCCACACCTAGAAGTGCAAGAATATAATGCAACTACTCTGGAAACTGAGGCAGAGTGCTCACAACAAGTTCAAGGCCTGTCTGGGCTACCCAAGAGGTTCTAGGCCAGTCTGGGCAACTTACTGAGACCATGTCACTATCTCAAATAGAAAGAGAGAGAGAGAGAGAGAGAGAGAGAGGGAGGGAGGGAGGGAGGGAGGGAGGGAGGGAGGGAGGGAGGGAGGGAGGGAGGGAGGAGAGAAAAAGAAAGCAAGGCAGATGGCCACAGGGACCAGTGAAGAATATACTGTAATTGGACTTTGTATTGGCCATGCTATTCGAAGATACTTGCCAATACAAAAGAATTAAATCCTGGCTATCTTATTAATACAAAGTGTATCCTGTTTATCAGTGTTGTAAAAAAATTTTCAACGAGACCAAGCACTTCAGCTTTCTGGGGTGTAATGCTGGAAGTTGTGTTTTCTTTTGTTTCTTTTTCTTTTTTTTTCTTTTTTTCCTTTTTTTTCTTTTTTTCTCTTTTTTCTTTTTTCTTTTTTTTTTCTTTTTTTCTTTTTTTTTTTTTTGCAGCTTTATAAAGAGAAGTGTTGCTCAGTAGTGAGGTTGCTGTTAAATATCAATCTTTTTTTTGCACCAAAAGTGTGTATTAGATACACAAAAAACATAACTGCTGTGCTTTGTTTTAGAACTAGTAGACAAAATGCCAAAGACAAGCCCTTAACAACATTCTGAAACTATTCAAGACTGTGAGTCTTAGTTTTAAATTGAAAGTATCTGTGTGAACAAGTTTGAGACTTGAGTGTTGAAGCTATCCTCCAGTCCCGACATGGGTTTTTCTACTTTGACGTAAGCCACTTACGGTTATAAACAGCAAAGTTGAATATCTGAGATATCTAATGGAACTCAAGACATGAACAGGAACAATTTGCAGAATGGAGCAGATAAATAATAATAAAATGGGAAGGGAAATCATTTTTGTGAAAAAATAGAATAGTAGTGTTGGAGTTGGGAAAAGTAGTTACCATCCCCTTCCCTAGTATAGTTACAATGTTACAAAAAAGTGAAGGACTTTCTCTTAAATCATATGTTACAGAGTTATGTATAGCTAATCTTGACATTGGTGTAGTTTATTTAAAAGGTACAGATGTATCCCGATTGGGGCCATTTCTTGAAATCTGGATTCATTTACTATAAAATGAGCCTTTTAGTTGTACAGTTGGCTACTGTTTTTTCTGAAGTATGTGACTTTAAAAATACTAAATAATAAGTAATTTATTTTTTATCCATGTTTGGTACTGTGTTTTAACTCAAACCACTAACAACAGATACCACTGTGTATATGAACTAAATATGACAGTTACTGTATAGAACAGATTGTGCCTCTTAAATATGTGTGTACAGGTAATTCACATTTTGCTGTAAACACATACCATTTTGCAGTTTTGTTTTTAAATTGTGTATTTTCCACCCATGACTGGAGTATATTTTTAATGTATATAAATACAGAAAAAGAGCGGATGCTGTGTATACAGACTTTGTTGCAAGTGGTCTAATTCCAGAAGTGTCACATCTTCCTGCATCCTATACATCTCCTGGGATTTCTTCTATCTTTTCCACATATTTCTAATTTAGAAGAGGTAGTTCTTCTATGAACAGTTTCTTTAGAACTTATTAACAAGCCATTGCTTCTAACTAGTGGAGTCAAATGCTGACTTGATCCGCACAGTTAATAAATCTGCATACCACCCAACTGTAATCTTTCGGTTGACAGTTAATACTTCATAATTTTCTAATAAAGTTTATGTCAATCTTTTGGACAAAAATGTGTTTCTTGTCTTAAGAAATTCATTTCATTGTGTCTTAAAACTAAACCCCTGGAGTGTGAATGTATACCTCAGTGATTTAGAACTTGCTGCTCTTGCAGAAGACCCTGTTTCAATTCCCAGCAACCATAGAGTGGCTCACAACCTTCTACAACTTTTGTGTCTGACACTCAAGCACCCTCATCTGACTTCCAACCTTCTGTAACTGTAGTCTCAAGGGATCTAACACCCTCCAAGGGTACTGCATGTATTCAGTGCACAGCCATGCATTCAGGCAAAACAAACAAACAAAAAAAACACAAAAGAAAGCAAACAAAAAACGCACACATAAAAGAATAAGAGAAAAAAATAAACAAAAATCTTTGTGTAGAGTTAACATTATTGAGGGAAAGGAAAGGAGCCAAGATAATAGGGGAAAATCAGTAAATTTACTGCTTGCTTGAGCTGAAACCTGGCTTTTTCCAAGACAAAAAAAAAAAGCTTCGGCTTTTTGATGGTTTCCTGTGTTGAAAAAGATTTGCTATTCACAAGTTGGAAGTTTAGTAGTATAGGTTCTTGTGTGAGGGTACCACTCCCTTATTCCATTTAGTATCAGGCCTTTCTTGTAACTTCTGATCTCCTTGAACACAGGACTTGGCTACACCACTACATTCTCTTGTGTTCTTTGTCTCCTCAAACTGCATTTTGTGTTTCTCTTTGTCTAGCTTTCCTATGAAGATTCAATAATTGTGACTAAGACAAGACCCTAATAAAATTATTATTGTGCATAGTATATCTACCCTGTATTGGTAGGAAACAAATTTTATATCCTCCTCCATCCCCTTCCTCGTATACCACTCTTTTTGAGTGCTGAGGTCCGAACTGAAGGTCTTGCACATGCTAAGCAAGTGCTTTACCAGCCCAGGATTTTATTTGGTTAATGTGAGACTATTTGATGGTTCATTTGACTTGAATACTATGGATTTGAGGCTCTATAAAGGTTTTTTTTTTATTTAAGCCATGTAAGGCATCTGTTACCATATTTTACTGGAAGTATATTTTACTAGGAATATAGAAATGCTAGTATTTATTATAGGTGTCTGCTACAGACACTACATGTGCAGCTGTACCATATTCACTTTTTCTAGAAGCCTAAATTCCCAATTTGAAACATAACTGGCCTTCAGGGTTTAAATGAATGGCTGACAGAATTAAGCAGTTTAAGGTATTTGGTTGTTTACAAAGGGGGCACAGGAATATTCATTTATCCAGTGCTTTGGGTGTTATATAGGGTAGAACTTACTAAGGAAATCTTTCCAAGCCAAAAGACAGAGCAGATACTGTCCCTAGAGCTTAAGTTATCTTTTTAGGTGGTGCTGACATGAATGAGCCAGTCTTGGTGGAAAAGGACCCTACCTTCTAACAGTCTATATACCTCTGTAGTAAAGGAACAGGATATTTGTGGGTAACTGCACCAGGAATGTTCTGCTTCTTTAGGCCTCATCGTGGGCATTAGCCTACTCTTTCTGTGAGCTAACTTTAAAGTGCTAAGCCAGCTTCCAACTGTGATCAAGGAACCAAAAGAAATGAGCCTCCAGGCTGATACAGCTTTGTCTCTAGTTATTTAGTTAATGCAATCTATATTTCAGACAAGCAATGGAGACTGGTGTCTAATTAACTGGGTTATACACATTCCATGTACCACAAAATCGTTATTATTTACATTTGGGGTATAGGACATACAAGAAGCAACTATTGCTGAATCTATGGAATTGCAAGCCAGCACAGTGAACCATGCAGCAAAAAAGACCTGTAGGTTGCCAAGAATTTCAAGCCCAGAAGATAGCCACCTTCAGTAAATGGAATGAGTTTCTGAGTCACAGAGATGCATAACTGCAGTTGCATTTAGTTCAAACTCTTCTCTGAGAAATTGAAAACTATACACTGAGAGCTGCTTTCTGCTCCTTCCACAGTTATTTAGGACTCAATCAGATATAGAATTGTCACAGTGGTGACAGCTTAAAGAATTCTTCTGCATAAAAAAAGCACTTTACTTTGGAGAATTTGGCTTTAAAAGGCAATCAGAATTAAAAAGTAACAGAAAAGAACACTTGCTAGAATGATAGGTGACAATGAAAAAAAAAGAACTACTGGGAAAAATCACTGTTCCAATTGCACTTACTATAAAATTAGATGCATTACATATTCAAAATAAAATTGTTCTCTGTAAGCTAAAATGTGTCCAGCTACTATATATTTCACACACTCCTTTTACATGAGATTATAACATAAGTGAAAAGTGATAAAGTGTATCCAAGCAAAAATATCCTACAAATACAAAATTTAAAATAAGAGTCATGGCACTGCTAACAATAACATATTTATTCTTTCAAAATTTGTTTCCATACAAAGTACTGAGCACTTTCTCATGAATTTAGGTCAATATAATTTTATTTATATGTATATGCTAAAATATTTAGGATTTAAAAATTGATATACTACCCAGACTTTCTTTGACTTAAAAAACATTGATTGTATCTAAGATACGCATCTTGAGTTTTATGTATTGATGTGACTTATCTGTTCTAAATTACAGACTGTGTTGTCCTTCAGTACCCCTTTATTTTGATGGATTATGCTCTGATACACACATATTCTAATAATGGACATTCTGTGTAAGTTCTCAGTAAAGTGGGAAATGATAGGAGGAAGGAATGGTCCCACAACAGCAGGACTGGTGGAGAGTTTGCAGCACAGAATATCTAGTCAGAAGAACAGGAAGAGGCAATTGAGTAGATTAGCCAGAAATCGCTTTGCTGGGAAACAAAACAAAACAAAAAACTGAATCACCCTTGTGTAGCTAGAGTAAGCATGTTTCATTGCTTTGTATGAATAATGGGACCTTGTTTGGAAATAACAAGATTTTGTAGGCATAAGAAAATTTCTCTGAAAAAAAAAAGGTTTTCCATGTCAAGAAAATACTAAGGATTGACAGCAGCCCAACAAAAGCTGAGAGAATACACAAGCAGATTCTCCCTCGGTGCCTCCAGAGCCTGATTACCTCTAGATTTTGGACTTCTGCTCTCCAGAATTGTGAGAGTATGATTTCTGTAGTACTTC